CATTGTCTTCAGGAAAGCCTGAGCACAGACTTATTGTTAAGCTTTCTAACATCCTATTTGCCAAGCACACAAGCTTCTCAGAGTTCCCACCACTGGTACACTCCACAGCATAACCACAGAATATTTCACATTCTGATGCAGACACTTCAAAACACAGGCACAAACAGCTGATTATAACTATGCCTCTGCTTTCAGAAATGCAAACAGGTATTAATAGAGATTCTTCAGCCATTGTAAGAATGCAAGACATCTTCATTAGCATCTCAATAAGCAGAAAGGTGGACAAAGGTTTAATCCAAGAGCCAAAAACCAACAGTACTGTGTGCACCTGCATTTACAACTCAGGAGAATTCCAAATTAAACTACCAAACCTTTACTGCTAAAATATATGTATGTAATGCAATTCTATCTTTTTCACAGTTATGCTGTCATTTTAAATTATACCATCTGATATTTTTACTATTTTACCTTCAGCAGACTGAGGATCAGCCTTTATTTATGTGGTTTAGTACCAATGATTACTTTGGGGATTGGATTTGGAGACCTTTGGTTTCTAGTTTTAATTATAATCAAAATTAAAAATAAGGACAAAGAAGCTCCCAGCCATCCAGTATGATACATCTATTACCATGCTAAGTTGCTTTAAAATGAATTTGGAGTTTACCTATCCCTTTGGTTTTTGTTGACCAACTACAGATTTAGATGCTTTAAATGCCTCTTTCATAGTCTAAGGCATCAGATTTTAAACATGCATGTCAAACTAAATATCACATAAGTGTTCAGAGATGCACAAGTAATTTAATCATATTTATGCTAAAATGTTACAAATTCCATCCAGAAACATTTTTGCATCATAAGGAAGATGGAAATGAACTAAAGCATCATCCTGGTCTTTAAAAATAAAGTGTGTCACTGAACACTGACCACAACAATAACTCAAAAGTAGAGGGATGTCATGTTCTGTTTATAAAGGGTAAATATATCACAGTAGATCCACTTTTGGAAGGCTTGAAAAACTTCTCATGGTACTGTAAGGTAAGAATTAATTTACATAACTGTGCTCCTTGTCTTCTACTGTGGTTAATCTCTTAAACCCTCTCAATCATACTATTTTTTCCCCTTGCTTTCTGCAACAGTTTATTTGCCAGGCCCTTCCACTGTTTGCCCCTCCACTGTCCAGGGCTATGAGCTATTTCAATTTGGTCACTCATCTTCAATAGGGTTTGTTAGTTTTTGTAGGCTTCACTTCCAGCAATCATGTTATTACAAAGAAATTTCATAATAAAGCACAGAAAAAAACATATTCTAAAGTCCTTGTCTCTTTGAGTTTCATTCTGAAAGTTAACAAAAGCTCTAACACATCTTTTGTGTGCTCTTAACATGACAGCTTTTCTCCAGATGTTGCAGAAAAGAACTGTAATCTCTATTTCCCAGAGTTTTGTGGCCCTTTAGAAATGGAATTCTCCCTACTACTCTATCTTCTAACTTCCATCTGCCTTAGGAAGGAACAATGACTAGACATAACTACTTCACCCTTTCTCATCCTGGAATAAACCTAGAATTAATTACCCAGCACTGTTTCTGCTGCATGTACCCTGACTGCCTTTGTCATGGATCAGCCTTTCCATCATTTTGGCAATCAATTTTTCGGCAGTTACTTGAGTCAGATCTAGAATGTTTTCTTTATTTCATGTGATTGAAGAGAAAATTAAGTATTACTTGCAATCTCAAGTATTTGTTGGCACAATGATAACTGGTTGGTCTGAACCATCTTACTGCTGAGAATAAAGGTGTCTGTTTCATCACTAAGGTTCTTTGGCAGGCAGGAGCTTACTTCCATTCCTCACACTGAATACATGGGGAGGTGAACAGGCATATGTCTCCCCAACAGTTTTCACAATATTTAAACCTATGAAGCATATTAAATTATTTCCAAAATATTATTTTAGAAACAAATTGTGAAAACTCTGCATTGCAAAGCTCCTCCTTCACCCAAGAAAAACAGGGTTTAGTCATTAAGGATGTTACCAAGCTGTACTGCCATCAGATAACAAAATTTATATCAAAATATTATTGTTAGCTTTCTGAACTTATTTTTGTGCTTGAAATATACAGCACAAGATTTGCATGCACTTTCATAAAACTGTTCAATAAAAAAACCCTAGATATTTTTCAAGGAATAAAATTCTCTCATTATTGCAATTTAAGATTATACTCTCCAGAGAGAGGAAATGGCAATATTTTTCTTTAAACACAATAGTCACATATTCAGCTATTGAGCTTTCACAACACCTCTTGGTCTAATAATACCTAAAATTATTACCTAATCCTTTAATTCACACATTTGGTAGCATGATAAATAATGTGAAAATCATTTTCCAACGAAACCTGTAAATGGATAATCCTAGTTCCACACAGAGCAAATTCTAAAATAACAGGAAAACATCTCCTTCTAAAGGTATTCCTTTGAATCAAACCTTGGTTTTCAGCTGTGCTCAAAGTGCCTTATACTGAAATGTGTAAGCTGTTACTGAAGCAAAACATGAAAGAGTGCCTGCCTGAAATGTATATCTGAAAATACGTTACTATGCACAAAACAAACTAATTTCTCCTGAGTTTAAGAGCAGTAATAACAACTTTTGCAACTGCAGTGCTGATCATGCTTTTGCACTTCTGTGTTTGACAGTTAAATTCATCAATGCCTAATACATTCACTTAACACTGAGCTAAGTAGTGTTTTGGAGAAGAGTATCTGAATTGCAATGTCCAAAAAAGTTTAGAATACACAGGTATTGCCTATTCATGTATGTCCAAGAAACATAGGTGATGAAAATATGTTTTTCTGAGACACTAGATAGCATTTTAAGGTCTGATTTCTTCCAACTGCAAGAAAGATATGGACTGATTCTGTACTTTGATTCAATAAATTGATTCTCTCAATAACTCTTGAATAAAAAGGCCCACAACTTTTCTTCTATTATGAACAGATAGGAAATGGGTCACCCAAACATCTAATTTCATTTTTGGAATAAAAGATATTCAGAATCACTGCACAGGGACTGGGAATGGATTGTAAGTACAAGGTAAGTAAACTCAGCTTTTCTACAGCAGAATTTATTAATTCCTAATAGTGATGATTTACGAAAGAGGGAATTCAGAACACACTACCACTTGTCTCCTCTATCCATACTCAACTTTTTTAACTCTGTAATTTAAGAACTTTCTATCGTGAGATTTGTTTAATATGAAAAACACAGCAGGTAACATTTGCAAGGTTCTGTAAAGAGAATCTCTAGCACTGATTAGGACAAGAGTATTACCAAAGGTAAAACTGAGTTCTGAAGGAGCCAGCAAGAGTAGAAAAGAGACAAAAATGTTTGACTAAATGTCACCTAAGCTTAATGGACCAGTCAATGTACCCAAAATGACTACAGATTTCCAAACCTAAATGGCATCCAAATGGCTTCTTTAATTTGTTGGGTTAATAGAAGAGGCACAGGAAATTAATTAAAGCTTTGACACAAAACTTGCAAAATTTATATTTTACAGGTGGGCTGGAGGAGAGTTAACTTTCTTCACAGTGGCTAGTATGGGGCTATGTTTTGGATTTCTGCAAAACACAGGGTTGATAATGCAGAGATGTTTTTGTAATTGCTGAGCAGAGCTGGCATGGCGCCAAGGTCTTTTCTGCTTTCCGTATTTCCATGCTGACAATAAAGTTGGAGGTGCATGGGAGGCTGGGAAGAGACACAGTTGGGACAGATGACCCAAACTGACCAAAGGGAGATTCCATACCATATGATATCATGCTCAGCATATAAAGTGGGAGGAAGAAGGAGGAAGCAGGGGGATGCTTGGATTGATGGCATTGGTCTTCCCTAGGAAGATGTGTGTGATGTGACCCTGCTCTCCTGGGGAATGGCTGAACACCTCCTGCCAGTGGGAAACAGTGAATTAATTCCTTATTTTGCTTTGCTTTTATGTGTGGCTTTTGGTTTTCCTATTAAACTATCTCTATCTCAACCCATGAGTTTTCTAGCTTTTACCCTCCTGATTCTCTCCCCCATCCTGCTAGTGGGGAGTGAGTGAGCAGCTCGTGGTGTTTGGTGGCTGACTGGGGTTAAATCACAACAATAGGTGAATTTAATTAACTTATATATGGGAAATTTTGTTGTTGTTCTGCACACTACAACTGAACGAGCAAGAAAGTGTGAACAACTACTGCATTTTCTGAGCCAGGATGCCTTGCTAGATGTTAGTTTTCTGCCAGTAACATAAAGTACATGGAAAATTAAATAAAATGGCAGATTAAAATTTGATAGGAAAGATGAAACCAGAAGTAATGCACAATATGATATAAAAGCCTCATGAACAATACAGCTAGGTTAGAATTCTGTCTATGTTTTGGCTTCTTGCTCTCTCACGCTATCATAACATTATATTTTATGCTTTTTGTCATGAGAGTTTTTGATCACTAACAATTCTTCTCCTAATCAAAACAGTTTTTATTCAAAGAAATGAAGTTTGAAATTCCAGTGCATGCAATTTAACTTACTAAAATTACTCAGTTCTCAAACTATATCCTTCCTAGGGTCAGAAATAACTAGTTATATAAGATCCCACAGTTTTTGTAGCAATTTTCAAATGGAAAGATAAAACAAATTACAGATTGTTTTCATGTGCTACTTGGAAGCTTAAAGGTTAATTTACAGATACTGGAGATAGAAAATAAGAATCAATATGATAGAAATCAAATCACTTTAAAGTCTTAGGGCATAGCACACGTCATCAACTACCTGTTATTACTTATTGTAGAGTACATAGTTTATAGGTAATAAAAATTACACAAGTATCTTAAACTTAAATTCTTACAGCTTGCCAATATTTCAATTTATTGAGGGGGAAGAGCAGGAAAAGTATGTGAGGTGAGCTGTGATAAAATCTATAGAAAAGGTAAAATGAAAAAAATAACACAGAGAAAAGCAGTAGAAGAGACAGACCTGAGTTTCTTCTCCTTGTTGGTTCCGCTTCTTCTGTGATCACATCGTATAATGTACAGACATAGACAAAGGAGATGGGCGTGAGAGGATGTATTCAGAAGGTTAAAACTGACACTGAGGGAAAGGGCCAAAAATTGTTTTAGAGAGAAGTCTGCAGGGCAGAGTTAGTAAGTGGGGAAAAAAAATAACAGACACTAGAAGAAAAAGGAAAGCTGAGGAAGAAGTGGTTAAACTACTGTTGTTGAAAAAGAACAGTAAAGACAGAGTTAGTATAGGAGCTGAGGAAATAATAAATAAAAGTTACAGCTGACAGCAAAGTCAATCCTTGCAATGATGCTGAAGAAAAAGCTAGACAGTAAAGGTATGTTAACTAGCATAAATACCTTTGTTCATGACTCTTCAACTTTTTGGAATGTTATCTATTTGAATGCAAGTATTGTTTTTCAAGTATTGAACATTCAGTTTAATGTCACCATTAGAATGCCTATTATTAGATTTTTTCAATTATTCAATTATTGTAAGTCATGCTGAACCAAACTTCACATATCCAAAACAGAAAATGGATTTTGTTTCAAAAGTATGTACAAGTTCAAAAAATTCAGAATCCACATAATACACTCTGGAAAGGACTGCATTATTGTAATGTGCTGCCAAGTCAAAATTATCAAGACCAAAATATGGAATATGAGAAAAGAGAATGTATAGCTATTAACTCTCATGGTCATTTCAGGATACTTTTTCAGAACCAAATGTTATTCTCATCTCACAGAAGTCTATGTTACTGTAAATGCATGCAAATTAAATACCAAAACAACTATCTTATTACTTACTTTATTACTTCACATGCAAAAACACACTGCCATTTCAGATATGGAGAACATCTGAGGAACAGTGTCATGCTCTGTACTGAAAATCTATTTGCAGCAAAAGAATGGGAGGAATTTATCTTGTGAAGTAATAATAATTGCAAAGATCTGTGAAGCTACTGTTGCTAGCAGAACAAATGCTTTCTTCCAAAAACAACCAGAAATGGAAAGAAAAAAATCTATAAGCTTGATCTAATTTCAACATGCAGTTTGTTAATGAGTCACAAAATACTGCTCATAATTAACACTGCAGATGCTAGATTAAGAATTCCAGAGAAATTCACACACCACTAAAATGGCTATAATGTTATCCACATTTTACAGTCAACATCAAGATACCATTGAAAAAATACAAAATTAGAATAAACAATATAAACCAATAAAATGAAATCAAAGACAACACTCAATTTCATCTGATAACCACTGTGTTTTGTACTAAATGATTATATACTATAGCTGGTAGATTTTTTTTTCTACTATCAAATGCCAAGACTGTACCAAAATTTGTTGTAAAAACAAGCAGCTTGAAATACACATAATTTGAATGCATTTTTAGGCAATTAAATTTGCTTACAGAATGAACACACAGAAGTGCTATATATAAGATATGCAATATGAAAGCATAGCATCTGTCAGTTTTGACAAAGGTTGCTATGTATTTGTATGTCAAAAAAAAACCCCAATGGCATATATATATATATATATTTTTTATCTGGGCAAGTACATTGAATCCATTGGATGAAATACAAATTAGCAAATATGTAGATCTACTGCCCTGTGGTGTATTACAGCTCATATTAATATAGTGTAGCTATAATTGCTATAACTGTTAAATAAACAAATAAATCATTATTAGCACCACTAAAACCCAGCTACAAGTACTTAAAATGCTCTGAAAATGTTTTATATTATATAACTATAGCCCTGAAGTGAGCACTCCTACTATGGCAAAACCACTTATTAGAGTCTCTATCATGACCCCCTTATATTGGGTTTATTATTTTTAACATCCACAAGAATGAGCAGTTTTGAAACATTTACTGCATTAAGAGAAATCCTTTATAATTTTTCAAAGCAAGTTTGGAATCTGATTATTTCCAAATCTGGAATATGTCTAATGTGGTAATGCAAGGTATTCTAGTCATGTCAGTGGGACATGACTGAATACCAGGAAAACTCTCTTTGCACATCATAGAATCAAATGACCAGTATTTCATCATCATTAAATCATCCTAGAATTCAGAATTTGCATGCATATCAGTCACATGTACCAATACTTTTTAAAAATTGCATTTTTGAGAGTCCTCATTCAAACGATTTGTTATGAAAAAAATATTTACATATCAAAGTGGCAAACAAAAATCATTCTTAATTACAAATATTTTTCAGCTTTAAGTTTTTACTCATCTAGTATATCAGAATAATGATTCTAATAGCAGTCAGAGGAAATAAAAAGATACTAGGTGCCTTCTCATTGTGGATACCTGATCAGCTGATATCTCATCTCTTGAGATAAACGGATTATAAGATTTTTGTGTTAATTGTTGCAAATATGAATGAATTAATAGAAGTTGTGGCATGGAAATGCACAAGCTTCTTTCAACTGATGATGATAAGAAGGAGGTACTAATAGACCTATTAATTTACACACAATAGCACTTATGTGAATCAATTTTCTCCTGATTAAGAAGCCATGCCATAAATCCCAAACAATTGTTTGAAAATTCTCTGTAGCTTTTAATCTACTAAAATAGATCCTTGTTGATAGAAATACATTTAAATGTGAGAATAAAACAATGGCATAAATTCTATTAAATTTACATTGTGTCAATAGGCAGTCTTCATTTGCATAGTTATTACTTTGTGGTGGAACTAGCATTTACTTGGATCAATTGTTCGTTTTGATGTATGAGAGTAGTATGTATAAGGGTATTTTATACAGATTTAGAAATTAATGAAACTCTCAATAAATAAGCCTGCAAAGTAAATTAAAAACAGGTATTGCACTGTACATCTATGAACCTCCCAAAAGAAGTACTATGTATTTTGTTGTGCTTTTATACAGAACTGTTCATTGTAAGCAATGTTACTCATTGAAGAAAAGTATTTAGGAACTGAGTGTACAAAAAAACCTTACATGGCTAACAAGTCCATCTAAAATTCTTAAAGCAGCATAGGACAAACAGATGTAAGTTAATTGCTCTTTGTTTTCCCCCCCAAGAGTTTTCTTAAATTTAGTTTCATCTTAGCCTAAAAAGCAAAGATTGTTTGCTTCAAATATGGTCTCAGATTTGAAAAGCCTCATTTCTGGACATCCTTCACAAAATGAGTAGTGCAATAGAACAATCAAATAGGCATAATCTTAAAACATGGAGGAGACTCTAAGATACAAATGCTCCGTGGGGTCTGTATGTTCCATAAATATGTCTTTAGTCTGGATGTGATTAGACCTGATAAATGACATAATGCATTTAACTCTCAGGAAAGATGTCACTTGACACCATTCAAACTCTGCAATACCAAGTATACAGATAGAAGAGTAGATAGCAGAATATTTAAGAGCACAAATATTTGTTAAAAGAAGATTCAGAGCGAAAGGCTATTTTACTACATTGAAATGTGAATAAAATCACTATTGCTTAATACTCTTTAATAATATTAAGCCACAACTTCCAGTTACTGCCTGTACATACAGAGCCTGTTCCACACTTCTAATTTTTTTCAATGAGGTAATTCCTACTAGTTCAAGCAGTTTTTTACCTCAAAGCATAAATCCAGACACACAAAATCACAGTTGTACACTAGATGTATGCTGACTTTTTTTCTCAAAAATATTGTCAGAGGATAAAGAAAACACAGGGAAGACACAAGCAATACATTTAATCCTGCAATTACATAATATAGGCTAAGTAATATGTGTTATATAAAAAATACAATAGGTAAAGACAGCAAGTATGGAAAATGTTTGCTATTCCCACCCAAAGATAAGGATAGTAGAGAAGAAGGTAGTAAATAGCATACAAGAAGAAATTGTAAATATTCTCTGCAGCATGAACTCTCTAAATCAAATGAAACCATGTAGGTTGGGTTGCTACAGAATTATAGTCACATTAGAATATTTCTGAAAGCCTTTGTTTATGTATAGCCAAGGAATACTTTTGCCCAGGCAAGATAAATAAATGTTCCACAGATAAAACCAGGCATGATTCCCTCTAAATTGAAAGTGAATCTATCCATCTAAAGACTTACCATTTGTAAGCACTCATTGCCATGGTATTTTCTGATGCGATTAACATACCATTGCTATGATTCCTCTAAAAATTTAGTTTAGTTCACAGAAATATGTCTTTCCCTCAAATAATTATAAGGACACTGCATTTTAACTTCATTCCATTCCAAGATGTATAAATCCATTTCAACTATTCTGCCTCCTTTTGTTCACTCCTATTAAAACATGCCAGCACTTTACCATGGTTCTGTTCTCCAGCTGCTCCTTAGAAATCAAAAGTGACTGTGACAAAAGTTGTATATTTGATGACACTTCAATCTTCTCAATAGCCAGTGATAATGAAACCATTAGAGGACGGTTTCCAGAAAATAACCATCAAATCTACTGTCCCTGTGTAGGAAAATGAGGGGAAACCCAACAGTTTTCATTGCTAACGTATCAAGCCTGTTTCTGCATTACCTTTGTTGTTTCTGGATAGTTCTAGACTGCATTCAGCTTCCAAAACTCTGGATAGTGAGACTGATTGAACAAAAACAGTTGACAGGGAACAGAAATGAGTATCACTGCCATGACACCCTAAACTACGTGCTTTTTTCCTTTAAATTACCTTGATGGGTTCAAGCGAGGCTAGCGATGACACCAGATGAAAATAATTGCTTTTTAAGAAAAACAATTTCCTACCTAACCTGGTCTCTCTCAGTATAGGATACACTCTCTATGCATAGCCTACTTCTTTTCCAACTTTTCTTAAGCCCTCATATATAAAAATGCAAAACCATGTGAAAATGTTTGCATGCTGTGCCTAATAATAAGCAATTTTTATTTTATTTGCATTATTTTTTTTCATTTCATCAGCAAAGGCAAAGTGATTAGAGGCCTAGAGCTTTAACCACTTTGTTTCATAGGCTATCTATTACAGCTCAGAGCAGGGGTGGGTGCTGATAGTA